GGGGGGGGGGGGGGGGGGGGGGGGGGGGGGGGGGGGGAAGGAAACGGGGATCTTACTCCAGAAATCAGATGTTGCTACAAAGAAGGGATACTTCCAGGGTCCTGATCGGTGGCTTTGGCTTTGTTTAATTGAAAGAAGCTGGTGCGCATCAAATAAATAACTCTCTAAAATCAAATCAGCTGGGTAGATAGTAGATACTATAGGAGACAGGCAGTTCCTCAAGTAAGTAGGCAGAGTGCCATGTAGGGCTTTATAGGCAATGACCAGCACTCTGAACTGCATCTGGAAGCAAACTATCAACCAGTGCCACATCGGCATGCCTAAGTATGAACATGCCACTGCATTCATGCCACGGCATTCCCACCAGTTGAGGTTTCTGTGTTATTTTGGTAGACTAGTCTAGGTAGAGCATGTTGCAGTAATCCAACTGTGAGCTTAGTAATAAGTGACTGCGTGAAGAGCTGTCCATTCTAGTTAAGGACATAACTGGCACAACCAGATGGTTGTGCAAAGGCCTTGATGACCACAGCTGCCACCTGCTCTTCAAGCAGAAGCTGAAAGTCCAGGAAGCTTCATATACACGTGACAATGATCCAAGAAATCTTATTATTAAATGAGCAACATATTCATAAATTCATCATTTTGCATTAGTGACAAATGAAAGTAAAGAATGCTTATCATATATAATAATGATATGATGGCTTAGTCCATCTAAACATTCAGGATTAGTTATCAGTTTATCAACTTTGGTTTGTTTGGGCAAGCTATAATCTTGGAACTAAGTTTGATTCAGATGACTACGTGAACTCACCCATATTTATTTTTTTATCAAATGGATATAGCCACCCATTTCATAAAAAATGACTCTGGGAGGCATACAATTATCACTGCAACAACATGGATATATTTGCCGCTGTCTGCAGTGGGGGTTTTTTTTGGACTTCCCAGTCTAGTCTACACCTGTTAAGATTCTCCAGCATTTGTCTCTATAAGCATTAATCAGATCTAACCATCTTTCAAGGCCAGCTGACTGTTTGCATACATAGTTTGGATGCCACAAGCCACTATCCCTGGCTGCTTCATGTATTTGTTTATGTGGAGGAAGGACCAAAGTGGCAACTTGATAGTAATAAATGAATTAGCTAGATGCTTTTTCAGAGGGTATTTTTCATAAATGAGGAATCCTGCCTAATGGTTGTAAATACAAAATATTATTTAGAAAATCAGAAACAAATATTCTTCATTTTTAGTACTCTTAAAATGATCTCTCATCTATGCAGCATACCTTATTTAGATGGTTCTTGTTTAGTTCTACGTGACGTTCAAACAACCTTTCCAAAGCCCTTTAAAAAGCAAAAATATTGGAAAGGTGTTACACAGGAAGTGGGTTTTTTTCAAAAAACAAACAAACAAACTATTAAGAATAATCAACTCCAGGATGTTAACTTATTTTTTTTAAACAGAAACAAAATAATTTTCTCACCCAAGAATTAAGTTCTTTTATCTTTTATCTTCTATTATTTTGCTGCAATTGTCCTGCTTTCACTGTATAGTTTCTTTTATATCTTTCCTACTTTTTCATGTTCATGTTTTCTCAGGTCTACTCTTGAAACTACCAAATGGCCTGCCCAGATTTCAGATCCTTTTAGCACCTTAGATTTCTCATTGATTCTTCCAATCTTTCATCAGAAACCATCAAATCAGTCATCCTTCCAGGTTTACATTTATTTCTTTGCTGGGCATGAACATGAACAGACTGGTGCTTAAACCACACCATCAAAACTAACAGACTTTTCCAAACTGGATAGTTGTTAGTTTTTAGAATAGAATAGAATAGAATTCTTTATTGGCCAAATGTGATTGGACACACAAGGAATTTGTCCCTCTCATTCATTCTTAGGTCTCTAAATGGCCTGGTCACTTTTTGTTCACTCTCTTATCTTATTCCTATCTACCCATTCATGTTCCAACAAAATATTTTTTCCCTCTGGACTGCATTTATTCAGCATTTTGTATACTTCTCACCACAAACACATCTGTGGTTCTTCCTTTATTTACCATTTACCAATGCCTCACTGCAAAAAAATTAAAATGTAGGAACTTTAAATATATCCAACCTGTTGGAAAATAATCCAAGCTTCAGAATTTCATCTGTTATGTCCTGAATAAAATTTAAATACCTCAGTTCTTCTTCTCTAAACAGAAAAGGTAAAAACTGCTTTTAATCTCCAAATGAAAATGTTGAACAAACACTTAAGCTGCTACCAACAATTCCCATTTATGATCTTGGATCATAATAGAATAGAATTCTTTATTGGCCAAGTCTGATTGGACACACAAGGAATTTGTCTTTGGCGCATGTCCTCTCAGTGTACATAAAGAAAAAATAAAATATATTCATCAAGAATTGTAAGATACAACACTTGGTAATAGTCATAGATTACTATCAAGCGATCAAATCATACTAGGAAACAAATAAAAGAATATAAATTATAAAGATACAAGCAACATGGTTATAGTCATAAGTGGGAAGAGATAGGTACTAGGAAGGATGAAAAGAATAATAGTAATACAGTTAGTGAATAATTTAAGAGTGTTATGGGAATTAGTTGTTTAGCAGAGTGATGGCATTCGGGGAAAACTGTCCTTGTGTCTACTTATTCTGGTGTGCAGTGCCTTATGGTATCATTCTGAGGGTAGAAGTTGAAACAATTTATGTCCAGAATGTGACAACGTGAATAAATGAAGACAAACTAATATGTTTGGTGGATTATTTCACCTCAAAGACTTCTTAGGAGTGTGAACTTGCTCTACTTCCTTCAACTGCTGATTTGTCATCTATAAATCAGCAGTGCCTGCTAGCACAAACTTGTACCTTTTTTATACAGAGGAGCTTCCTGCCACATCTGAAACAACCTCAGCTGTGTGTATATCAGAATAGCTTCCCTAATATATTCTCATTGACCTGAAGATACTGCATTCATAGCAGAAGGTTAATATGCAATTCACACTTCAATTAACAATTGCAAGAACAATATCCTTCTGCAGGATTCATAGGAATGTGCAATTTCTTCCCAAACTGGATTATGTGTACGTACGTAATGAACTACCTTACCTCGATTGCAGAACCTAAGTAGTTTTCTTACTATATTTAGTTGTCAAGCTAAGCAGTGTTTCCTTTAAAAAAAACATGTTTAACAAAACAAAACATTGAAATAGCAACAGCAGTTAGAGTTATGTACTACTTCACAATGATTTACAGCCCTCTCTAAGAAGTTTACAGAATCAACCTATTGCCCCCAACAATCTGGGTCCTCATTTTACCAACCTTAGAAGGATGGAAGGCTGAGTCAACCTTGAGCCCTGTCAGGATCGAACTCCTGGCACTGAGCTAGCCTGCAATACTGCATTCTAATCACTACATCACGGCTCATTTTAACATCTAAACACAAGAAAACTAGTGTAATACATACACAAACATTTAATAGAAATAAGCAATAAGTAAATCCACCAATAAGTCACTAAATTTCCTCTTATATAAACAATAGTGTCGTTAAAGGAGTTGCTTGAGTGAAGAGGGTTAAGCAGCACAGAGCTCTGGCATATATTCTGCTGCATCAGTAAGAGCTGGAAATCTGCGCAACTGACATTCTGTTCAGTTAATGGATTGCTAACTTGGTTTTAATGTTTTTGAAAAAGAAACCTAGAATGCTTCCTTAGTTTGAATTTCAGATTCGTGGGAATAGAAAAGGTTTGGGAAGACAGTTAATGACTTTACATGAATTGATGAGGGGATTGATCTTTTAGTTGGGGCACAAAATGTTTGGGGAAAAAGTGTATGAGCAATCTATCTCATAGGTAATAATTGATGTCATAGTGGTCTATGTGTCAACTCATAAAATATTTCTATGGTCTTTTTAGAGTTGCCAACAGAAAGGGTGGGGGGAGCAGTGAGGCAGCTTGCAAACCAAAAGCGCATTCCACAAATAGTTTTCAAAGATAGTAACTAGGTGACTGAAGTTTCTGCTGTGCAGAATTCTAACTGGAGAACATAATTGATAACTCTTAGCTATGGATGTGTCCCATTGGAGAATATGAATTACGATACACCCAGGGGGAGGGGGAAAACCAGGGTCAAGGGTAACAATGAATTATGTGTCTCAGAGTTGGCTCCACCCAGGCAGCGCCAGACATTTTAACTCCCAATAAATCCTTTTGAAATTCTGTAAGTTTGGCTTGAGACTCATGATTTAAATGGGGGTAACTGCCAGAATCCTGGCACTATGAGATGCAATGAAGTTTATGTTGCATCCCTTTTGTCTCAGTGTAATATTGTTCTCAACAATATTAAGTGTAAGGTCTGTAACTGCCACCAAGTATGACAGACAGGCAGAAGACTAGCAGAGCATAATTTTACAGCACATGGACAGAGTCAGTCATAGTTTCAATTGGGAAATGGACAGCATCCTAGAATCAAGCTAGATCCAAAAAAATACTAAAGAATGCTAAATGCTTGGTATTCAGATAAGTCAGGATAAAATATGACCAGAATATCTCCTTGCTAGAAATCAATGCCTAGATAAGCAGGGATTAATACCAACCCAACAATCAAAAAGTAAACAAGTCTAATTAAGGAACTATCAAAACAACACCATCAATACTTTTATATATAATCAGGGAGCAAACCCCACTCTGTTCTAGTACTGATGATGTTACCTAGAGTCTGGTAACGAAATATCTGCAAACAACAATGAAAGTCAGAGAGCAGCAAGGACTCAAAGTCTCATATCTTGCTTGTAGGTTTTCCTACTTATTTAGCCCACAAATAAGCAACATATCCCTTTGTTTCCTTCTTTGAGTTCTCATAACATAGGAAGTGAACTGTTTCATGTAGCATTTAATGGATTTTCTGTAATGTAGCTTTGGGCCCCAATGCTAGGAAATAAATGCAGAAAAAATGGAATTAATTTTGATTTAAATCAATCAACCAAACCAGGTTGTGGTTTCTTGTGTCCTTAAATATGTGAATGCTGTGGGTATATCAGACTTTTTGATATTGTTATATAGTATTCAGAAGTGGGGTGTGAGAAGGAAGAAAACAGGATCAGTGTTACAAAAATAATCTGATAGTTTTTCACTGTGCAACAATTTTGCAACTGATGTACATGCATCCAATTGTAATTTGGTATCATCTTACTTCGTTAATGTTTTGCCCTTATGTAACACCGAAATTAATGAGTTACTTACTCAGCTTGGATTTTCCTCATGGTTGGGGACTCAACAGAACATGGAGAAATTGCTCTAAGCCATAACAAGGAAGAAACAGTGTAAATCAGACCCAGAAGGCAGAATACTATGAAAATGTACATTGTTTCATATAAGGCTATGCTCGAATTGATCTCTATGCCTAAAGAGAAAAGTGCAGTGTGATCATTCTTATTTTTGAATTTTACTCAACTTGTCCTCCCCAATGAAAGTATGAAGGCGAGGGAGTAAATAAAATAACGTAATCACTTTTAGAATTATTAAATGGATATTATTCAATCACTGTTAAAGGAGGAGAGAAAGGGAGAGAAACAAAAAACAGTTTATCAAACTTAAACCCGTCAATCTACATAGTGGACAAAGGCAAGTAAAATACAGGAAGCTCAAACTCTGGGCAACCAATCAGGAACTTTTCCCTAAGTTTTTAAAAAGGAGAGTGGAACATTTTGCCCTTAAAATTTTGTTCCCAATAGGATAGATTCTGGACAGTGAACAAGTAAACAATAAAATCACAAAATGTAAGAAATAAAACAGTCAACAAAAAGCAACCTGAAAATAACAGAACATTCCAGCATATTCTTAATGCTTGCAAAGATAGTAGAGTCAATGTATCTCTGGTGGAGAAGTCTTCCAAACTGTGAATTGTTACTAAGATGGTTTGTTTTTTTGCTCCATTGCCCTCTGCACTTCTCAGCATCCCCCTTCTAGAATTTTGTTGGGGATGGGCAAGTTGGTGCTTACTGAATCTCAGTGTTTTACATATGGTATATAGCAGGAGTGCTTAAATCTGGCCTGTGGGCCCGTCGTGGAAATATCAAAGGACTGACCCACGGTGCCTCTACCGGCTAAAACGGGCTGCGCTGCCCCCCACATGAGGCCCATTTTTGGGCAGCAAAGTGCTGCAGGAGGCCATGGAGGCTGAAAAAGAGGCGTGCGGGGGCACATGCAGCTCCTCTATGTCCCTTTTTGGCCAACAGAGTGCTGCAGGAGGTGTCTGTCCTATCTTTTCCCCCACTCCCCCAGGAGACCTAAAATGCTGATCTGGCCCTCGAAGAAATCCAGTTTGACACCCCAGTATATAGATTTCAAAGATGATAACCAGCACTTTGAATTGGGCCCAGTGTCTTCCTAGGAACCAGTGCTGCAACCTGGCATCTTTGTCTCAGTCTGAGGTGGCACTATAGAAGTTCAGCATACCAGTGACAACTCACCCTGAATAGATTAACTTTCCCACTAATTACATTGAGGTGTAGAACAAACTGGAGAAAACACCAAATCTTGTGTGACCCATGCTGTTGCTTCCAGAAACCTGTGACCTCCCCCCCATGATGTCCAACTGCCACTCAGGTTGAAAAAGGATCACCATAAAACGGGTCTCTTAAACACATAACTTTGTAGGTGGTCCAGAAGAATACCAGTGTATGGAAGGCTGGTCAGAACAAATCTAATTTCCATATTCCCTCCACAAATGCAGTCCTGTATGTCTAACCCTTTATTAAAAATTGAGATTCTAAATTTTGGCTTTACACAAATATAAACCCATCTTTCATCTGAAGTAAACCCCTATTCATTGATGGTGGATTAATCATCCAGTTACATCCTAGAAAGATTTTATCACATTCTCATGATTTACTAATTCATTATTTATTAATCAAAACAAATACTGTGGTTCAAACAAGCATTTCATCTTTCATATTGGCTTTTTACTTTATTTGCTCTGCTACTGAAATTTTGTTTGAAGGAAAAGATGCATATCTGTACTTAGCGAACATCATGCAGTTCTAAACCTCACAAAATACATCATTTGGGACTTCACAGGAAAGCACGGGGATGTGCCATCAGCCGTGAGGACAGAGTCACAGAGTGTGTCAAAAAAGAAGGAAAAAGATCCGAATATGGCTTACCTTGGAGAGGATAACTGAGAAACGGTTTTCATTTCATCAGACTTCTGCTCATTAGAAAACTGGGAATCTTCTACCTATATATAAAGAATACTTGTCTGTTATTGATACAAAATTAATTTGTACAAGTAGTCCTCGACTTACAATCACAATTGAACCCAAGAATTCTGTTGTTAAGCAAGACATTTGTTAATCTTTTTGGAACTGCTGAAAGGACTATGATGTAGACAGGAGACAGGTGGTATCATAGCCTCCCCCCTGTTGAGAGAGGGCTGCTCAATTTTAACATAGATGGCCTCTTTTACCACTCTTTCAAACCAATGGTCCTATGTTCAGAATGTGAACTTTGCTGTCTTCAAAAGTGTGACCTTTGTTTTTCAAATGCAGATGGACTGCTGAATCTTGCCCTGATGGGTAGAAGAACAAACCAGCAGTTTCAAGAAGATTCCGTATCAAGTGACCCGAGAGTACAGATAAACCCCCAAGTTGCCTCAACGACTCTCAGAGAGCTAAAGACTGACCTACACAGTGCTAACAACCAGATAACTTCAAGGAGTATATATTCCATTCCCTACCATTCAGTCAGAACTGAAGAAACTTGTTGGATGAGAAGCAAAACATCTTCAAGGAAACAAAGAAAGCCCGGTGTGCTTTTCAAAAGCATCTTTCGGACGAGAATGTGAGGGGGAGTTTGAGTGCCTATATGTGAATGAGAGAACCTCTAGTTGGGCGGGTGGGTGTAGAAACTATTACTGGCTGTTCCAGCCATCCAAACCACCAAACGATTCTGATCTACTACTATGCAATCTACTACCTTTTGGCCACACCTTCATGAAGATTAAGTCACTAAAGAATGGAATTCAATATAGCACATCTATTTGTTTTTCACTGTTTTTAAGATGATACCAGCTTGTTATGTAAACCTATTTTTAGACAAAAATGCAGGAAATAAAAAAGAAAAATATAAAATATAAAATAGTATTGTAAACATTGCTATTACTACAATATTATTAAACTAAAAGTGCATTAAAATGTTTTCATTAAAATAGAATTGGATAAATGTAATCTTGCTGGAACACTGCTGAGAAGACTTAGTTACACAGTCAGCAAATTTTATACTTCCTAACAGAAAGCCAGCAAGCAGCATCCCAATGATAAGCATAAACATATAGGCAGATTATTAAATATTTAAAAGATTAGAAACAACACTCTGAATTAGGCTGGAAACCCAAAGACAACAAGTTAAATTATGAGGGTATAATGATTTATCCTTCTGCCCCACAATAACAACTGAAGCGGCCTTATTCTTCATCAATTGAAGTGTTCCAGTTATGGTTCTAGTTATATTTCCATTGTAATAATCTAGCAAAGGAAAAGGCATGACAATATTTTTTCTTAGTAAGGTTGGAACTAATGTACTAAACTGAAGTGGAATAAAAGGCACTTCTGCTAGAGCATCCATTGTGTTTCTATAGAAAACATCAAATCCAAGAAATATCAAAGTCACAAAAGAGACCTTTTAGCGTTTCAGTGCAACCACTTTCAGTATGGAATGTAACCAATTACCCAGAGCAACAGACTTCTTTTTACAAACTGCCTGATGACTGGAACAGAAACAAACAGATCATTTGAATTACCTCCTTTGTGATCTTCTGAAAACTAGGCAAATTTTCTTTTTCAGCTGCTTCAGATTTGTCTTGAAAACTATAAAAATACAATGATCCTATGTCATTTTTTCAGAAACAATACTACCATATATTATTTTGAATATCTACGGGGCAAAATATATTACCATCTGGGTTCGAAAAACAATTATTAGAGTGTTAATGCTTATAGATGCTATACCCATCATTTGTGGGTGTTCATGAAGTGGCAGACAAATGGCCCACTGGAAGGAAAAATATGCAAGGAACTGATAATCCATCTGCTTATATAAATCATTTTAATAAAGAAGCTGTGATACAGATATAAAACATCCGGAATTTTAATAGTATCTATAGAATAACTATAGCACCTCTATAGTTAAGAGTATTCACAAATGGCCTAAGTCTTCTAATCATGCCATAATCATTTCCTTGCTCGGCATTAAATATTGAAGGGACTCTTAATTTGCTATAGAATCCCAGTTCTAAAGAAGACAGTGGATTGATAGCATTTAATAAACCTTTAGCATGAGAGAAATAACTATTATTATATTTGGAGGAGATATAATTAAGACAGAAGACATCTACTTTGTATTATTTATTTCTCTGAATAAGATGTTTACTCCCTTGCACTGTGCTGCCTTTTAATGTCCTCTATTTATATAAATGGAAATGAAGTAAAATATATGGGAGACCTGTGCTTGCCATCTAAATTACATGTATTAATGAATATAATCCTGTTAATATTTATGGCACTATACAACACGCTTAGCACAAAATATTGATACCTTCCAGTAGGAGCTTCTAGTTATCAAACCTAATTTTTTGTTGAACTTTAGCCGTACATATACTAATAAATCCAAATTGAATATACTACTTGCAATTAAAATTGTAAGTCCGACTTTGAAGACAAGAATCAGGGCAGTCCTAACAATATTGGCCTTGATTCTTCAGGAGCCTGGTTCAAACGTCTTTTAAACATAAATCCAAAAGTGATTTTGATTAGATTACATTGTCTGTGTCTCAGTTTACTATCCTATTTCTTCTTTTATTATGAACACTCCAACCTTTTGCCAGAGCCAAGTAATTTCTGCTTACTACTCTGGAATAAAGCTTACTAGCTGTACTTCCATGTCAGAAAATAGATAAATCTGGTAGAATATTAGTAAGCAATATTTTTAAAATTCATAAATATGCTTGGATACAGACTTGCTGGAGGGCATAGAACTATTTTCTCCTAATTACTAATTGCTCTTTTCCTATGCCATTTCCCTCGCTATTCCAGAGTTTTGGGGAATCCTCTGGATAAGTCCTGGAGAAGATGGCATCATTCTCTTTCTTCTACAGAAAATTCCCAATGGAAATTATGATTCCATTTGCAAATGGAGGAAGCTTTTCTATTTGTTGATAGGCATTTTTTCATCCAGCCCAATCACCCTGCACCTTCTATGAAAAATAAAATTAAGCAGGATCAAATTATTCATATAACTATGAATCTACAATATGACAATGGGACCTCTCTGTAAAAATAAATACACCAACAAGCTGTGCATAGTAACTAAAATATAGGTGACGGCAGACCATAATGAGCAGAGACATGAGCTCCTAATCCATACAACAGTTCTTTGTAAATGTAATATTCCACGAAGGTGCACTTATGTCAATTGAAAGTGGGGTGTTTTTTTAAAGAGAAGAATGAAATGAAGCAAATATGAGGTCTTTGTTAATTATCCATTTCCTCATTTTTCAAGGCTCTTGTTTATACTGTGGTAATAGTCACTGGATGAATTATTGTCTTGAAGTACTACTATAGGACATTTTTCATCTATCTACTTCTAGCAATGTTACACACACCCACACCCACACTAGTTACTGCTCAGCTATCAAGTTTAGCTTCCCATTGTTAAATATGAACATGAAGCAGCAACTCAATGCACCATAGAACAGGTTCGTGCAATGTCTATAAGACAACTTTCTTAAGACAGTTCTTCACCTGCTTATTTCAGTTTGTGTTTCTGCTTCCATATGTTGCCTTAGATTCTCCCTTACTTTCCGTCTTGCTGGGGTGTAGTATCTGTATTGTGAAAGAAAGGATTTTGCATCCGACTTTAAAGTCCTTGGAGTGAATGGCTGCTGACCATTGGTAAAATGTTGGGAATGCTTATCCAGGAGATCCCCACTGCATGCTTTGGAGTCAGGAGTTTGGGCTTTTGAAGAATGCTTGCTTGCTGTAGTGTCAGAAGAACTACAGGAAACTCTAGAATGTAATTTTTGTAGGCTTGAAATGCTGGAATCTGAGCTTTCAATTGATAAGGTGGAGATTTTCGGAGCAATGCTTTTGTTATTTTTTTCTTTCCTTTGAAGGATTGCGCTTTGCTTTTCTGGAATCAGTAGGGAGTCTAACCCACACTGCTGTTCACATGGTGCCCTTAAGGGTTCCTTGTCTTCTGGTTCTGATGAATGTGTTGGGGTGGGCTGGAAAGACAGAAAAACCACAGGCTATTAGATTGGACTCTTTTCATGAAAAGCAAAGAATAAATACCAAATGAATACTATTCTCTGCCATTTGTTTTTCTCATAATGAAGTGCTTATAAAAAAAATACAGAGATATTGATTGGACTCAGGAACTCTATTTAGGCTCACACATTCCCTTTGGCCCCACAAAGTGATAAAGACTTTCTACCGGGAACTTTGGACTTGCCAGGTTGATTGTCCTCTTGCTCTGGGATATGCCTCCACTGTAAGCAGCTATTTCATTTATGCTGAAATAAAATATCAGTGAAATGGGGGGGGGGGGGATCTTCCAAGCACCCGCCATACAGCAGTATAAACAAATGGAATTACTATTAAAATGGCAAGTTGGTTTCTGTGCTATCCCCGTAATTGTTTCAATTACTCAAATATCTACTTTTGCAAACAGCACTTGAACAAAATTTCTGTTAGTTTTATTTCATAATTTCCATAAAGTTTCTCACTGGTTATGCCTTATTTGTCAACCAGTCTGGGGTCTACTATAACTGTTGTGAAATTTCTTTCCAGATCTGATGAAGACACAGCCAGACAGAATTGTGTGGAAGTGTTCTTTTATTCACAATCAAGAGCCAATAACCTCTTCTAGCCCATGAATAAAAAGACAAGAAAGTCATAAAATGGCTTCTCTATCTATCCTGTAGAGGAGGAAGGAAGGTCCATTGGGGATGGCAACAGAAAGCTGTACACCAAGTAAGAACATGACAACAGAGCTGATGACAGGCACAAGAGAAAGGTCAGCTAGGGGCAGTTGTAGTGGTGGCAGCAGCAGGGACCAATTGCAAATGCACTGGGGGTGTATGTGTCAATTTTTTATCATGTCACCATAAGGGCACTGTATGGTAATAAATTTGAGGACTGGTTGCAAGTTCATTTTTCTGTGCTGCCATAACTTCAAATGACTGCTGAAGGAATGGATGTTGAGAAAGGACTACATGTACAATTACATTTTCCTCTGGCATAACAGCTTTGAAAATGGGTTCAGAAGATATTTTTTAAAACACAAAGAAAATATTGAACATGTTGAAGAGAAATCAAAATTCAAAACACCCTTCTACTGGGTGTTTTAAATTTTGATTTCTCTTCAATGTTTTCAATAGTTTCTTTGTGTTTTTAAAAACATCTTCCGAATCCATTTTTCCCATAAAAAGGGGGAAAAGTTTAAGATTATAAACTGGGTGTACACTGGGCATTATAAAGGCAGCATTGTCTTGCTAAATAAATAACCAAGGCAGCATCTAAAGCAAGAGGTAATGCTGCACAGAAATACAGAGTTATTCTTTGAACTATGTAGTGTTATGTAAAGCACTAAGACTGAGATGTCATGAACAAAAGAAATTAAAGCTCGGAGATGAAAGAAAATCTAATTACAGATTTGCATGTTTTCTATCCTTGAAAATCAGTTTTCTATGCATTTGTTTTTTAAGCTGCTGTATTGATATTCTAAAGCACAACCAGAGATTACATTCAATTGCTAGTTAATAAAACACTATAAGAAGCCACATAAAGTTAAAGACACAAGAACCACTCTTTAGCAGTTCTTTCTCTTGACATCATTGATTTTTATGTATTCATTTACAACCCAGCACGCCACTGTGGAAAGGCATTACAAAAGTTGGCTGTGATAAAACTAACAAGTCAGCAGACTTGAAGCTTTTGACAGGCTATGAAATGGAAAAAAGTCATATAAATTCTTCAAAGCAATAAACCTGAACAAGGCACATTTTCTATTCCCAGGGATGCTTTGTAGTGCTTATAATGTACTGTATATCAGAGTATGAATCAGGAGAAAGATATTCATGGAACAATTAACTTTCAACAATGCACATGCGTATGTGTATATCACACAAATTCCCAAAGCAGCGGAGGTCCTATTAAATAACCCTGACAGCACAAAACAAATGGCCAAGCTTTCTACTTTTGACTTTCTGCTGAAACACTGAAATAAAATCATATGCCCGCACAAAATTTATTTATTAATTAATCCAATTGATATAACCACCCATCTCACCAAAGGCAACTCTGGGTGATGCCACAAACAGATAAAATCACATAGGAAAGCAACAATATAAAATATATAAAAATCACTTTAAAAGATAAATATTATAAAAACAGATATATGGAGTATGTCTTACTGCAGAATCTTGTAACACCCCTATTTAATTTTGGTGAATCAGAATATACTAAGGGCATACAGTTTTTTTTTATTGCAAGCTGTTTGCCTGTAGAATGCCTAAGAATTTATAATAGGAATCAAAATACAAACATCAGGAAAATGCAATTAAAATGTAGCACATTAGTGCATTTTAACTCAAACAGTGTTATTACATAATGCTAAACACTTTCATGAGAAAGTTAATTTGCTCATCTCTTTTCTCTTGTGTAGCCACAAAGAAAAGATGATAGCTTTTGTTTCTATTTTAGATTAATCATAGTTTATCATGTCAGCTCAAATAAATGGTAGTTAATGTTAAACATATTTGATGAAAAAGCCAGCATCAAACCACATGTTGATCCAGAAAACTATATTTCTCTATGTATGATTAAGAAATGAGATACTATTGACATAACCAAAGACCGCATATTTCCATCTACTGGACGTTCATAATACTCTATAAAGCAGGGGTCTCCAACCTTGGCAACTTTAAGACTGGGAGTTGAAGTCCCCAAGTCTTAAAGTTGCCAAGGTTGGAGACCCCTGCTATAAAGCACATCCATATATTGTAGCAATTATTTTGTAATATTTTATTCTTTATGATCCATTTCATGGTCCCAGTACCTAAAATATCATTAACAACCCTATAAAGTTGAATGTATTTTGTCTTATCTATTTTAACAGTTGTCTACTTAAAATAAGATGCTTTTCTTTTTCAGAGCTAATACTATACAATACAATGAACATTTTTGAAAAATACTCCTGCAGTCCATATTTCATTTTCTTATAGGACTCTGAAGCATTAATGTATATATTTTTTTATGATTGTGAGCCAAATTATTAACAGGACACCAAACTGGAAGGAAAAGAAATGAATTAAAATTCAATGACAAATGATGATAAAAATGGAATATTTAATAAAAAAATCAAATAACAGAATAATTTAAAATTAAATTAAAGTTTATAACAAGAGAAAATATAAACAATTATTTGCATGGTATTGGCAGGACATACCTTCCATAGGTATATGGATTATTTTTGGTTCTGTCACTGAATATGAACAAAAGGTCACTACAAATGTCTTTCTCCAATTTCTAGATTTGAGCTGGAGGAGAAAGACAAAGGCATGTAATGTAATAGCAATGTTTCTAATAAAAAAGCTGACTCAAATGTTGGTGGTAAAATGCAGCAGCGAATCCACATCTAACAGCCTGGGCATATGCCAAAGCC